TGGGGAGTGGCATATAAATGTACATACTTCATAACAGGAAAAACAAGAATTCTGTAAGTCTTGCTGACAGTACTTTAGTCTCAGTCTAAGGGTAAGCTCTAGAATAGGTGAGCAAAAAATTCTTTGATGATGTATTAAAGTGTGGATGGTAATACAGCTAAGCTGAGGAGAAACCATGGGATGGGTATTGTTTGATAAACTTGGGATGAAAGAACCTTTTGCATTTAGGTTTCTTATCCTTCTGACATAAAAGGAAATCAAAATGTGAGTAGGAACATATTTTTTTTTTGCCTTTGATTGCTAGGACAATCCCACTCTAATGTAATTTACAAATGAGAACATATTCAAGTAAAACTAATTGACAATCTCTAAAAGGAATCAGAGAAAGAAAACATGATCCAGCTCTTTTTCTTGAGAAAAGACGTTTCTAGAACAAATTACGTTAGAACAGTAGATATCTGTTTTTTTTCTCTCTCTTTCTTTGTAGAAATACCTTCATTTGATTTTCAAAAATCATGAAAACTGAGCATATTACTTGCTAAGTAATATGGAGAATATATGAAAACAAATAACTTGGATATACCTACATTTTATATTTTAGATTTTTCATCGGTTAGTGAACCACAAGTGATTAGATTCAATATATTTATAAAAATGGAATGTCATCCTAGAACATGGTTATACACTGAAGCAGCTGTCTGCTTTATCTGCTTGCAAACATGATGTTGTGTTTTTAGCAGCTCTATCACAGGTACCTTGCAGAGGATCTTTGTAGGGCCTATGTACAGTTCTTAGCCTTCAGCTGTCATAATATAGAAAGGCAACAGGGTTTTAAAAGCTATTCATATCTGAGTTTTACTCTTCTTAAATCTCTTAGCCTTGACATTCCTTTTTGCCTCATACTAATTTTCTCTTGTAAATGGCTGTTCTTGCTCCTACATCCATTGAGGTCTAGCTGGCCTGGGGCTGCTAATTTGTGCCTTTCTCATCCAACAAGTTCTTCAGGGACCTCACTGGTTCTCTCTGTAGGGTAAAGGACATTTTTCACTGCCACTATAATATGCTGAACCTGCTGTAGTTGAGCTTCTGGATGAGTTTCATTGGCATAATCAGTTCTGTATACCTGCCTATAATATGTCCAAAGTGACAGGCATGTCAATACAGATATGACTGCCAAAATCTGGTAATGCACAACTGTAAGGGTGCTCTAAGAGCATAATGTTTCTGTTACTAGTTAGCTACTTTCTGTGGAGCAAATCTGTAGTTGAAGAACGCAGTTGAAGAACTTTTTACCTTATCTTTTCTGTTCCAGCTCCAGCTGTTTGTTCTCTGGATGCTAATACAGCATAGTCCTTTTTATCAGTGGCTTCTTCATCATTTCTGTGGCTCACAGTCCTGTGTCTGATATTTACTAAATCTTCTAGCCCTGAGCCCAGAGACTTCTCATTAATCTTTTTTCTTTCCCTGGAGAAGAATGAGTAACTCCTTGGTTGATGCCCAGTTTGTAGCTACCTGGAAATCTGTTTTGGGAGTACTTGCTTTTTTCATATATTTACATATCTTATTTCATATGTAATGTAGACAAGGGCACTGTCTTGGCTTTTACCAAGAGTCCTGGAGGATAGGTTCTGGGCTAATGGAAGATGCATGAATGTGCCCCACCTGTGAACATTTTTGCACACCATCATGACAGGTTTCACTTGTTAGGACAGTTACCCTTCCTTTCTGTTCCAGCTGAGGCTCCTCTCCCTTCATCATCTCTGCTGCTGTGCTTCTTTCATTATGTGCTTCTCTCTGACATTGCTTGTCCATTCCACTTGGAATGGAAGCCAGTAAGCTCTTCTCCCTGTATGGATCTGCAGCAAAATGGTCAAGACAGTAGTAGCTGTGGTCCAAAGCACATGATTCTCTTAGTTCAAAGGAAAAGATACCTGGGAAAATGCTGTATTTTGATTTTCTTTTTCTGGTTTATGAAGAAGGGCAAAAAAAAGTTTTTTTTTGTACTGGTATGAGTGGATAAATTGCATCTCTGGTCAAAGTTGTCTCTCACCTTCCTCCTGAAGCTCTCTCTCTTTGCTTCCATATCTACCTTCATCTGCTACTATAAACATGTCCACCAGTATAGGTGATTGCTGTTACATTTCATTTCTCCTGGCAATCTGAGCAAGTAACTCAGATTCAAAAGATTATCCTTTGTAGCTCCTCATCTTGGATGGAGCATCTAAGCAAGGCAGATGTAGTGGCACGCAGCGTTAGGCTTAGAGTTTGCAAGGAGCCTCAAGTACAACATAAAATGATCTTAAAATGATCATGAAATTTCTAAGAACCATTTTGAAACCTTAAAGATGAGAATCTTCTCATTAGTCCTACTTGCTTCATGGCAGCTGGGTTAGAGGGCATAAGATTTGGCTTGCTGGAGATGGATGCCTTTCAGAAAGCAGGAGACATCTGATCACAATGCTGAGAGCTGGTTGTGAGGATGGCAGTACCCGAGCATGAGGACAGCAGTTGTTAACTCCGTGCATCCGTGTCTCTGTGTATATCTTGTGTGTGTGTCTCCATTTCCAGCACAGGAGAGAATCCAACAATATTTCACCCAAATGAGAAATGTTATTCTGCAGATTAAAGCCACGCAGTGCCTGGTTTTGTCTTTATTTATGCCTTTCTATTTCCTTCTCTGCTGACATGGGTGCAGATGCCGGGAAGCACTGAAGGACATAATTGGCGTTGTGAAAAATTATTGGGAAGCCAGGACGTTCCCTTGCAGTGATCCCCCCCTTCTCTTTCCCATCTGTCACCATCTAATGTGACAAAGTTTTTATCGGGCATTGAGGCAGAGGAGATTAAAAGTAAATACTGCAATCAGGAAGCAGCTGGGGGGAAAATGTAACACATTTCACACTAAGCTGAACAGCTCATCAACTTAGCCTTGTATATCTACGGTGGATGAGAGGGAGGGAGGGCTGCAGGGGGATGGTGTGGTTCAACATGCTTCTCCACACTGGGAGTCTGAAGAGGATCCTCTACAAACAGGACTTGTACTTTCTGGCACTTGCTTGCTTTGGAAAGGAAAAAGCCTCAGGAGCCCTGTAGTTCTCCATTTGCTTTTGCAACAAGCTCCTGTAAAACACTGTTTTCTCAGTCCTCAGTTCATGTGTTTTTGGACTTCCTGCTTTAGTGATGATCCAGGAGCTACCATGTCCTGTTCAGCGAGGAGGGCTTTATCAGACTTCTGTCTGGCTGTTGTGGGCATCCAGATGCCATCCTATCTCTGGGGAGCTGCAGAATGAAATGTTTGTTGGCTAAATGGGAGATACTATAGGCAGATACAATAATGTTTCAGGCTCATGGAACTGGACACCAAGATATTTAGTATGCACTGTGCTGGGCACTGCTATATTCTGTCCAAACTGATCTGCCTGCAAAGACCAAGAAACAGAAAGCTTATGTATCATATTACTATATTCTTATTTGTGTATATAAAATTTAAGTTTGTTGAACACTACCAGTCATATTTTCTTCTTGCAAGGCTTTTGGAAATATTTGTTTTCATTCCCAAAAATGTTGCCTGCTTCATTTTTTGCTGTGATATCACATGAGCTCAGTGCTGTTGAACATGAATAGACAGGTGCATGTGGAGGACTGTGAGAATCTTCTCCTCATCCCTAGGATAAACAAAGCTTTGGAAAATGATCCAGACTTCCCTAGTATCCCTGCCCCTGTAAATGTGTCACCTGTTAGGGAAGGTCAGGATCCTCCTACTTCAGGAGAATCTTAGTCTCCAGCATTTATTTGGTCCTTGGCTTTACAGTTGAGTGGCAATAAAATCTAATATCTGTCCTTTTGGCTGTCATTTCTTGTAAGGCATTTTTTCTTCAATTTTGCTGGGAAATCCCTGTTTTTAATTAATTTTATGTGATTTCCTTAACTTACAATTATTTTGTTGTTTTGATGTCACTTGCTCTTCAGTGTTGATGAGATGTCCTGTCATTGTTAACAAGTTTTCTAAGGATAAAAAAATACTAAAATCTTTACAGCTAGTTGCTGAACAGTTAGATTGAACAGGATCTTCTAACATGGGGATCCTTTTGCTGTGCTTGGTAATCTTTCAGGATTCCTTAAACTATAGACAGCCTTGACTCTGAGGTAAGTTATTGTAGCTTTTGTAGTTTGTTTATTTGTGTTTTTTTAGCGGTGGTCTTCAGTTTCCAAACACTACTGGTGCAGCTGTGGTGGGGAGACACCTGGTTTGGCCTTATGTTGCCTTTTGGTGCCCTGCTGTGGTGGTGCCACTCTGGGGCCATCCAGCTAGAAAAACTTGACCAGCTTGTAGAACATATGCCAGCAGTATGTACTTTGTCTGTATAGTAACATTTTCATTATTGGCTAAGGAACCCTTTTATCTCTGTAGTGTGAAGGTAATGAGGTAAGGATGTCAGGCTGAGAAACTTGATGGGATCTAACAACATACACTTGCAGCCCAGAAAGCCAAATGTATCCTGGGCTGCATCAAAGGCAGTGTGCCCAGTGTTCTGCTCTCCTGGGATCCCAGGGGGAGTACTGCATCCAGGTCTGGGCTCCTCATCGCAGGACAGGTGCAGACCCATTAGAGAGGGCCCAGAGGAGGGCCACAAAGAGGTTGAGAAGGATGGAGCACCTCTCCTAGGAAGGTGGGCTGAGAGAGTTGGGGATGTTCAGTCTGGAGAAGAGAAAGCTTTGGGGAGACCTTAAAGCAGCTTTCCAGTACCTAAAGGGGGCTACAAGAAAGCTCAAGAGGGACTTTTTACAAGGGGATGTACTGATAGAACAAGGGAGAAGGGGTTTAAACTGAAAGAGGGTAAGCTTAGATTGGATATTAGAAAGAAAATCTCTACTGTGAGGGTGGTGAGGCACTGAAATAAGTTGTCCAGAGAAATTGTGGATTCCCTGTCCCTGGAAGTGTTCATAGTTAGGTTGGATGGGACTCTGAGCAAGCTGATCTAGTGGAAGGTTTCCCTGCCCATGGCAGGGGTTTGAAACTAGATGATCTTTAATATCCCTTCCAATACAAACCATTCCATGCTTCTATGATTTCCAGTAAGGCAAGGGATCATTATATGCTTTCTTCAGTATCCCTGCATTATAAAAAGTAGGTAACTTACTGATTTTTTTTTTTTCCTGTAGCTCATACGAAATCAATAACTGCTTGCTAGTGCTTGGCAGCCAAATTCTCATAGTGCTGTCTGTAGCAAGCCCCAGCCCTCACTATGGACTACTTATATGCTCTTCTATTGATGCAATTATATGCTTTATCTTAGGTCACTGGGCCTTGAGCTGGTCTTCTATGTCATTGTTTCTCCAAACATCTGAAGGGCACTGTCATCTTACAGACCAGAACTGGAAGCTTGCTCTTACACTGGCATCAAAGCCAGAAGGAGAAAAAGGAGCCACTGTCATGCAGAACATAAGACACAGAAAAAGTAAAATGAGGTGGGAGGAGCTTGGGAAAAGTGCTGGATGGGCAGAAGAATGTCTGTAGGAAAGATCAGACTGGACCATGAAACCCTCTAAGGATGGAAGGTTTCTGTGCCTACGGCCTCCTTAAAACCTCTTTTGATGTCTGAAAGATTTTACATCTTTTGGTATTGTGTAAGGTATTGGGCAAACTGCTAGAGCTGAGCAAAACAGAGATGGAACTCACATAATTTGGGGACTGACAGCAGCTGCATTGGCCTTAACCTATCAAGAAATTGCTGGATAAATCCTCCCATGTTTTCCACCTGCCCCAGGAACCCAAGTTACATAGGACCTTTCAGGCTGGTGCTGTCAATCCTCTAGAAGGATTTTTTGCCCTGTCTTAGCCTGTGCTCTATTTCTTTTTAGCTCTGGTGTAAATAAAGTATATGGCAAACAGTCCATAATGTAGTAAAGGAGGAAAATATTTTTTTCTCTTTTTATTTTTGACTGTACTTATTGCTGCAATATGTCATCATGCTAATTCTGATAGTCCAAGAAAGAAAAGACAATGGTCGACACCTGGAAGTTTTGTGTAATTCTAGCACTAGATAATTACCTTTTACATTCAAATATCTATGAGCTGTTTCTTTTTGGGCTCCAAGAGAAAAAATTTTGATTAAAATCCCTGAGGAGGAAGACGTTTCACTCACATTGAATAATTTGGCATGACTTGGTCTTTGGTCAGATTAGAACCAGCATTTGTACTGCAGCCATTTCAGAGCTGATATGGTGGAGAAAAAGTAGGTACTCAGGTTGCACCATGGTAAGAGCCACTGTTGGCATCTCATCTTCCCAGGCACCTTATTTATTAGAGAATCTCGGCTTTTTTTTTTAAATGCACCTCACTTAATTCTCTGACAAAGTCATGGAGGTAGAGATGGTGTTGCTCCTTTAAAGCTTTTAGACTGGGTGAAGAAAATATTTAAGTTGATTGCCTATCATCTCAGTCATGAGTTCCCTGCTTCACTCTGTATCCCTTAGGTTTGGAAATGTAATGGCTAGATCCCAGATCTGGGATTCCCTTAGATGGGGAACAACAGCAACTGATCAACCCAGGCATCTTGCATTTCCTTTCCCACTCCAAGTTAAACAGAAGAGAAGGGAATTGGGTGATTTGCTTCAAAACATTTGTGCAGAGCATTGTATTATAGCTAAATATTTTCTCAAAATTCTTGCCAGGAAGTTTGCCTGAGCATTCCTCCCGTTTAATTTTTTTTCAAACCTCAAGAAGCACAAGCAACTTATATTGATGACTCCTGATGTTTCATTGCTACTGATGTCTCATTGCTAGTAGCTTTCTGTCTAATAGTATTTTTTTAAAACAGAAGGAACTGATGATTTTGGCAGCTACTGCCTGAGGGTGCAGTCATGTGAGCAGGCAGCTCTGGGTTGTGTCCTCTCCAAGGAATGCTTTACTGCAAGAAGCATTATTAGGAGTAGTGCAGAAAGTAGTACTTTTCTAGCGTTAGGTGGATGCTCTTCTGCTAAAGATCCTGCCTTTTGGATAAGACATGGAACTGAAGTTCCAAACTCTTCCATATTTTTGTGAGTGCTCCCTGACTCTCTGCTGGGTGTATTGCTTGTGCTTTGTTTGGGCAATACCAAGTACTGTGATGAAGTGCAAGTAACTCAATGGGATTTATACGAGCTTATGAAGCGGAGAATAAACCCCATAGTTTGCACAGTAAATCAATTTGTAAAGTGCTTTGGGATCTTTCTGGATGAAAGGCCCTATATAAATGTAAGCCATGACCATTCATCATTATTGAATATGAAATAGAGATATACACTCTATCAAGCTAGAAGCAATAGGCTTGGGCTCATGATTGCTCACAGGACCCAATCAGTCATCAGATCACGACATAATGCAGCTAGAATAAAAAAAGAAAACCCACAGCAAATCATTTCAAGCAAAGCAATTAATGGGCATCCAGTATAAATAGTGATCTCAGTAAGGAAGACTGGGCTTTTCCCAAGCAGTAGAGTTGATGCCAGAGTGTTAGCAGGGGAAGGAAAGATTCCTCACCAGCAGTACACCACATAAACCTACAGTTAGATAAGAAAACACTGTATGTATGCTTTTCAGAATTGGCTTTCTATTTGGGAAATGAAACAGAAAATGGTTTTGTAAAGAAAGTATTAGCTTTTTGTTCTACAATGAGCCACAGAGATATTATTTTTTTGCATCAAGTTGTAGTCCAGGTACCTAGCATTGTCACCTAAACTTGGTTGTCACATGTAGCATCTGTGGCTCTTGCAATGCAGCATGCACATGCATGGCAGGGTATATAATCTGTTTCCTTGAAGATACTGACTGCTGTGCTCTGTTTTGTGGCAATTAAGTCAAAACATAGGCTGTTCCAGTCCTCTGCTTCAGGAGCCAAGCAAACTGAGGGCTTTCTTCACTTGTGCTGGAGTTCCTTCTGTCTGTATATTTGCCTTCTGAGGCAAGACAGTACTTTGTACAAACTTTCCCTCCTCCTCCTCCTTTCTGTTGTGGTGATATGTCTGTCTCAGACTGCTGTGATGCCATGGATATAATATTATACTCTTGTTTGCTGTTTGTTTGTTATGTAGGAGAGATTGAGTGTTTATAAAATATAAGGAAAGTAGGTGAAAACTGAAATAAGAGAGTGAAATAAGAAATATGAACGATCCCATTTAATAAAATCCTTCTTACCACAGATCAGGTTATGAAGAATGGGAAACTCCCATCAGCTCTTCTACTGCCATGACCACCAAGCTGCAGCCTCAGATTGTATAGAGTCTATAGCACCCTATATTGCTGCCTGCAGCTATCTTAATCTCTAGTATAGGCTTGCAGCCTGACATGTTCTGAACTCTAAAAATGACATGAAAGAAATAGAAATATTCTAGAAATAGAAATGAAAATCAAGAAATCTAGAGGGAGCAGATTAAGAACAGTGTCTTAAACTAACCTTCTGTGCCAGAGGTGCTGCTAACACAATTCAATATCCCATCAGAAGTATGACTGTAGGGAAGACAGGTAGAAAAGGCCTGCTTGTCCTCATTGCTCCATATTGTGTTGTCTTCTCTGGAATGCTAGACTGCTTTGTATTGCTTTGTCGACAAGATAGGCCATCTTTCTTCCCCTTCTCTCTCTTTTATTTAAACTCTGAGTGAGATGAGGGGAATGTTAACTCCTGACCTTTCCTCCACCCCTCACTCCCCAGCCTTGTCTTTGAACTAGATACTATGAACCAGAGACCTTTCTTTTGCCCACAGGCTAGAGATCATGAAGTGCAAAGTTGTGTCCCTTTTTCTTCCTTTGACTCTGGTAACAAATATTTGGACCTTTTTCCCCCTCCCCAGTGGAGCACAGATGATCAGGCTACATCTGCTACATCTGGTCCACGAGGCCTCACAGAAGGCAAAAGTTGTGGCATCTGGCACAACCATTTAAGGGTCAGATACTGCATTAGGAAAAAAGTAAAGTAGGATGTGGGGGAATACAATTTGAAAATTATTCCTAAATATGTCCTAAATTGTCACTTGCAAACAAATTCAGCTGCTGTTCCCTCTGTTTTCTGTTCTGCACATGAGGTGTATTTACTACCCTTGAATTACAAATCACATGTTGATTTTGTGGTGCTGCTATGGCACATCAAAAAGTGCATGCAATTTTTGCGAGAAGTGTGAGTTAAAATCCATGTGGTTAGAGAGAAGCTCTGCAGTAAAGGACCTGGGGGTTCAGGTACACAAGTCGAAGATCAATCAGCAGTGTGACTTTGAAGTAGTGAAAGCTGAGCACATACTAGATTGCATTAATGGGATTTTATCTAGCATCTCAAGGAGTGGTTATTCCCCTCTATTCAGCAATCACAGGACTGTACCTGTTGTCCTGTCTTCATTTTTGGGCTTCTTAGTATAGTTAAGATGTGGACAAAGCAAAGCAAGTCCAGCCAACAATGACAAAGGTGGTTAGAGGGCTGGAGTACATGAGATAAAATGAGAGACTGGAAGACCTAAATTTATTCAGCTAGGAAGAAAACTCAAAAAGAGGTCTAATTGTAGTCTTCAGCTGCCTAATGTATAGTTGAAGAAAAAGCAGAGAGAATCCCAGAGAAAGAATGAGAGGCAATAAATACAACCTGCAACAGGGAAGTTATGATAGCTCTAAGGAAAAAGTTCTTCACAGTGGAAGTGGTTACAGAGAGGCTATCTTCTTCAGAAGAGACTCAAAATTCACCCTGAGCAGCTTGATCTAAGTCTGAAGCTAGGACTGCTTTGAGCAGGGGTTTGGATCAGAAGACCTCTAGGATTCCTTTCCAATCCTATTTCTGTGATTCTAAGTGTCATTTATAAGACAATTACACTAAATTATGCAGTGAGCTAATTTGAAACATGGTGGAGCAGACCAAAACTAGTTCTTTGCTTTAGCCAGAGAAGTGGACAAAGAGCTGAATGATGTACGTGAGTTTTGGTTCTTTTGCCTTCTCTTGAACTGAATCAGAATAATATCCTGAAGAAAAGGCTCCCTGAAGTCAATACATGCTTTATTTGGTATTATACAATGGGGTTTTCTTGATGGATGGTTGCATGTGTATGAGCTGCCCTCATACACCTAGCTAATGATGAGTTTCAGTGGTATTAATTAGAACTAGAGGGGACAAGTGTGCCCCTGTGAGTTTATTTGCACTTGATAACTACCTTAGAGAATTGAGTAGCATAAATGAAGGGTCATAATCAGAGATTGAAATCTCTGCTCTGTAAAACGCCCTGCTGAACAGAGAATGCCATGGAAGTTAGGCTTGCAGTCAGACATTGTTTAATGTCTTCTTGATTGTTTTCGTGCTGCTTTATTCTGTCAGAGGGAGTATCAGAGTACCATAATCTTTCTTCAGTTCTGCTGACTGAGAGAGCTTTTGAAAACAGAAATCCTGAAGGAGTTCCTGTAGTTAGTTCTAAGTTTCAGGTAGTATGAGAAATGCATTTGTACTTTCTCCTTGTGAGTCTGTTTCCAAATGTTTGCTTATTTTTACTCATTTTTCTCTTACCATTTTTAAAATAGTCTAGGTAGGACTTGGTCTTCTGCAAGCTGTGGCCAGGAGTACATCCTGTGTGGATATTTGAAGCAGGCATAGGGAAAATTTCCTATGGAGCCTGTGCTGCAGTGAAAAACATTACCCATAGATGGGATGGAAGTTCAAGACTCAACTAGACAAAGGCACGGCTGATGAGTTCTTGTGATGGTAGATGTCCCACAGAGCTTCCCTCCAAATGATTCAATGAGGTCATGAAAATGCCTCCTCTCTCAAGACCCCTGTTCTCAGAGGAAGAGCAGATATGTTCCTAGGGTAGCCAGGTGTCTTGTATCAAACAATGCTGCAAAGACCGCTTGGGCTGAGACAGGTGGCCTGTGCTGCACCTTGGGGCTGGCCTGGGTTTGCTGGAGAAGGTGAGGTGTGAAGGTGCTTTAGGTGCTGTACCTGTTTTCTTCTGTGAAACTGCTGGCTTGCTGCATCTCCACATCAGCTTGTCTCCATGTTCTCACTCTGTGTCAGAGGCATGGAGCCAGCAGCAGCCTTAGGAATTGGCAGAGAAATCGTGTGTGTTTTTCATAACCTTGCGCAGTTCAGCCCTTTCTTCCACTTCACTCTGGAGGTTTTGGGCTCATGTTTAGAACCACTCTGTGAAGATCAAACTATAGCAGGGAGCAATAACCCATTCTCTCCTGGAGATCAAGAAGAGTATGAAGGACCCATAGTTCCTCCAGCCTAACAGACAATTGGTGTAAAGATGTAATATTTAATGGGAAGACTAAGGCCTGTTAGAGACAACTAATTAAGCTGATAGATGACCTCCATGTCTGCTTAGCAAAATCAGTGCTGGTTCCACTACAGCATCCTTGTCTGAGAGCAGCTCCTTACCTTTTGGCTGGTGAAGGTAGAGAACTGGTTTAAAATGAGATTTTGCTTGAACTGGATATACAGGTGTTTGTATATTATTTTCAAGACTTCATTGCTAGGTTTATATGGATGGAAAAGTTTCGCAAGTAATTGCCTGGATTATCAAAAATTAATTGCTATGATGAGTTTTGCTGCAGTGGTGTATTCCCAAGGCTGCAAATAGACATGTTCTCCTGTTCTTCTTGGGTTTGATAGACAAAACCATGGAGACTGGCTGATCTCATGTTGCTGGACCCAACAGTGAATATGAGACCAGTTACTGTATCACAGACCTGTTCCATTGTTTTGCTTTTGTACATTTCCATGTTGCTACATTACAGAGCTGCTCCTCAGGCAGGATATGCCAACCCCTTC